TTCATCTCATGCTTGAATTTTAACCTATTCCATGGTTCATGTTGCATATTTATTTACCTAAACTGAATATTGATCTTTAGAAATGAGATAAAATTAATCTTCTATATATTCGGTTATTCCTATAAATTTATTTATTAATATTATAAAATTATTAATGTACGATGAAAATTTATACTCCTAATTTCACTGTGGTAATGTATATTAAAAATCTAAATACCTAAAATATGTCATGTTATAAAAGACACTAGAAGGAAAATAGGCCAAAAATAGTTGAAGAAACGAAAGCAAATATTTCAAACTCAATTTTAAAATTGACTCCTTCGTTTTATGTATAACATGTAAAAATAAATACTTAGACAAACTTGGCCAAAAAATAAATTAGCTAATATATCATTTAAGTATTCAAGAGAAAATTCAATTAACGGAAAAAAAATTATAACTATTGTTCTTTAACTTTTATTAATAATTTGATGTTGCTTTTAATTTTGCCATATATAATGAGTATTTTATTTTTGTGTTATATATATAGCTTACATGTGCCTTCTTTTAGTAGCTTCAAAAGTAGGGCTAATCTAACGGAAAAAAAGGTAGCACAACATATTTTTAATCTCTAAATTTTGAATGATAAAAAAATATTATAGTTTACTACAACTTTAATATTAATGGGCTTTAAATTAAAAAAAACTTATATTAAATAAAAATTTAATTCTCTACATAATTCAAATATAGAAAAATTTAAATTACTATTTTGTCCAATATGAATTCTATTTTTAAAGGACAAAAAAGGCAAACGACATTTCGCTAAATGCCTTCGTGCTTTTAATATAGTATAGATATCCCATTGCTTTCAAAGATTGCTAGAGCTATCAAAATGGGTTGGCCTCACAGGCCAGCCCAACCCGACTCGCTACTTGGGTAGGGTTGGGTTAGGATTTTTTAGCTCATTTAAAATTGAGGCTTATAAGCCCGGTCCAAGTCAGCCTATTAATCCTTGAGGCTTGATCGAGGCTGGGCTTGGGCTGCCCCGGGGCGAAAAATTAATTAAATTCAAACTAATTAACTATTAAATATTTAACATTTAAGAAAAAGTAAAAACTAAAGTAGTTATTAACTATAATCTTCATTCCCCAACCCTAGATTCCTAATTTACCCTTCCATATCAATTAGAATTTAGATTTTTGACAGGTATGTAATATGACAAAATTAGTTTTTCTTTTGCTTAATTAATAAAAAAAAACTCAAAATTTTTTAGGTCCACATTTATCGCGTAGAGCCTATTAAAGAGAAATAGCTATTCACTAGGAAAATTTTCCATTCCTTAGGCGCAAAATTTGAGATCGTACTTTTGGTTAAAGTTATCCATCTCACCATACTCTTTTATGGTGATTTGGATCTTTCAAACTTTCAATATTGCCTTGAATTAAGCCTCCATTTTGTATAGTAAATTAAACATATAATAAAAAAATTCCCATGTCGACGCAGAATTGCAGCTTTATTTCTTGTGACAAATTGGATAAGATGGCAAATAGGATAGGGACGAGTATGGCATCTGTATTTTTTGCCTCCCTTATACGTTGCTCTTGCATTAACATTAGCACTTTTCATGATGAAGATGATGAAGAAGAAGCCAAAGATCGCCCTCTTTTACTTACAAAACATGATTCTTTCACCTACCCACCCCACTCTTCCACCCCTAATTCTAAGCTTCCTTCTTCTTGATTTATTATAGACGTGTTGTTTATGTGCTATGTTGATCGGATCATTCAAAAATGTCGCTTGATATGTGTTGGATCCGTCAAATATTATTCACTTTAGATGATCAGACAGGGGTGTGGCAATATTATGGAGGATCAAATCAACCTAGTCTATGTGCATGCAAAAAGCATATGCTATGAAGATGATAGTTGTACATTCTTTTTACGGCATGGGAGGGAAGTTACGATACACACATTATCTATGTATTATGTTGATCGGATCCTCCAAAAATGTTGTCTGGTATGTGTTGTTGTATCCTTTAAAAGTTATTCACTTTAGAAGATCCGACAGAAGATGAGGCAGCATTCTCGAGGATCCGAACAACTTAGTATATGTGCATGCGAAA